TATCCATGTGCTGCTGTAATTATCGCCCTATCTCTGCTCTCCACATTTTGGAAAATTTTAGAAAAAATTATGTTTAACAGAATATACAAATATTTTAATGATAATAATCTACTTTACATCAATTAATTTGGTTTCAAGAAAAATAACTCAACTGAATATGCAATTATCCAATTTGTGCGTGAAATCTCAAAATCATTCGAAAAATCATAATATACACTAGGAATGTTTATTGATCTATCAAAAGCTTTTGATATGGTTGATCACTATATTTTAAATTATGAACTCAAATACTACAAATACTAAATAAAAAATAAAATTTTAAAATGGTTTAAAAGTTATCTATTTAACCGAAAGCAATTTAAACCATTTAACAATGATTACCAACTCACTTTTCTTAATATAACCTGTGGAGTCCCACAAGGTTCAATTCTCTTTTTTTTAATTTATATAAATGACTTAAGTGACTAATAAAGCTTCAAAACTAAGAAGCATTATGTATGCAGATGATACAAACTTATTCCTTTCTAACTATGATATCAATGAACCTTTTGAAACAGTGAACAAAGAACTCAGACATATATCTAATTGGTTCAAGTGTAATAAGTTAACCTTAAATACTAATAAAACAAAATGGGTTTTATTTCATTCGATTACAAAAATGCAACTTCTCCTATCAAAATTTACTCAAATCTTTATCAATCAAAAGAAAATAAAAAGAGATTTTGTAACAAAATTTTTATTTTGAATTTTAATTTTGAAGTACTTATTACTTTTTTCCTTTTTAAAAAAAACTGGAAAACCTCATTCTTTCATTAGATAATATATTGAGTTATTATTAGTAGTAAAAGTTAAAAATATATTTTGGTCTATTTTTTTTGTTTATAAAAGTTTATGTTTATAGAAGTTTGTTGCTACTTATTTTATTTATTGTTCTTATACTTTTTTACTTTTTAATTTATAAGTTGGTTTACTCTTGTATAAAAATCTGATGAGAAGATCCTCTTGATCTTTCTTCAGACACAGATTGTTTGCCTTGCAATTTTGTAAAAGTTTATTAATTTTTTTTTTTTTTTAATCTTATATTTGTTAAATACTTTTTTAGGGTTCTGACGACGAGATCCTTGCGATTTTCTTTCAGATACCTTGTTTATGCTTGTTATGTTTTATGCCATTGTAAGTTTATATTATTATTTTTATTATAAGCTGTACAACGATTAACAAATGTAAACCAGAAAAAAAAAATGAGCTTCTGGCTTAATATATGATTAAAAGTAGTTAGACCCAATACGTTCTAAATTTAAAACAATTAGTTATAACAAATCTCTTTTTAGAAAGTTTGGTAATAAATCTATACTCAACCGCGTTAAAATATTAGAAATAATTTGCGATTTGTAGCTTGAACGGTGACTTACTGATGTCAAAACCTTTTCTTTAGGATCAGGGTAATAACAGTAGCACGATGAACAATATTGTATATTAAATATTGATGTTTGAATGGTAAAGCGGTTTTTGCAATACAGACAGGGCCGTATTATTTAGAGAGGGGGCCCCCTTTAAAATTAAAAAAAAAGAATTAGTTGACAAATTTAGACATTAGAGTCAGAAATTTGGAATTTTATTTGGCAGTTGGCAAATGTTAACTAGCAAGGATCTTTTTTTTTTTTTTTTTGTTCTTTTTTAGATTAAAAAAACCCTACTTTTTCACGCCTCTTTAAAATCTCTTTGCTACGGTCCTTAATACACAAGGCCATAGACAATTTTTTTTTTGATGTTTGAGCTTAGGCAATGGCGGATCCATAGGATGGAGGGGGGGGGAGGAGGATGGAGTTGATAACCCCCTCCCCTTAGAAAGTTTTGAAATTTTTTATTTTTGTTAAGCTTGTATATTAAACACGGCAAGTTGTTAAGAGGGGGGGGGGGAGCGGTTGTAAACTTTATAAATTCATAAAAGCCAAAAAAAAAGAGATTATTGAATCAAATTTGATATTTGCCGATGAATATAAACTAAGTTTAAAATAAAAAAACAAAAAAAAATTTGACTCATTGACCTTTCATTTGGGGCTGGGGGGTATTTGGGCTAACGTGTAAGGGTTTTTGTTGTTCCCAATCTCCAACCAACGCAATTTTTTGCATAGCATCCTCATTCCTCATACATATGAACATACTTAAATATGGAGTTTTCTTCATGTTTCAAAGTTGCTTAGCTAAAACATCAAAAAAAAAGATGTCTACGGCCTTAATACACGTAAAAGTTCTTACATTCAGATTTGTATTACTGTTTAAAAATATGTTGTTGTGTAAATTAATTACTTTTCCGTTAAATAATTATGAAATAAATGGTTTACTGGAAAGCAATAAATACTAAAGGCATATAGCATTTATATTGTCAAATACTGCCTATAATTAAAAAAATAGGACAACACAAAAGTCTTCTATCACTTCATACTTATTGGTGCAGTATCTTATTTGACATAAGATTCAGCTTTAAATTGACAGTAGGCTCTTGCAAAACAGTTCCACAATTTACTATATTTTTGAGTAGTCACTTTAGTGCTTTTTTGGCTTTAAGTACAACAGTTATGCTTGTTTCAATTATTGTTTCTTTAACAAACCATGTTTACATATAACAAATTTAACAATGTAACATTTTTAAACAAATTTAACATGTAATCTTTAACAAATCATGACACAATTATCTTTTTTCTTTTATTAGTAGTTCTATTGTGGTATATACTCGCTCTTTTTTTAATTTAACTTATAGGTAATTACTTCTCTATCATTCTGATTAAAAAAGCTTTATGATCCTCAATTAACTATTAAAATAAATATTTTTAGAGATGAAAGCTGGTCAAATTCCGATTGCTGTTGAAACTGCACAAATGGCACCTGAAGTTTTTATTGTAAAGTAGAAAAAAAGGCGTGTTGTAATTTCTGCTGAGAGAAAGGCATTTTTATGTGGCCTTAAATCAGGTGGAATGTTGTTCATTAAACTTGCATGTGCTAAGACTCAGCATGTGCTAATTTCTTCTCTTTATGCCATTTGGAAAAATTTTGCAGCTACTAATAGTACAGAAAGAAATAAAGGCTCTGGTCGAAAGCGAAAGACTGATGCACAAGACGATCGAAGTAATATTAATGAAGTCCGAAAAGATCGGTTTATAATTGGATCAGAAATCAGAGCATGATTAAACTTAACTACTCTTGTATCAGTTAAAACCGTTTGTCGACGTGTTAATGAGTTGGGTGAGTTTAAGTCATATTTTGCACGCAAGAAGCCTTTCATCAGTCAAACGAACAGGGGTAAGATTGTAAAATGGGCAAAAGATCATCTTTATTGGACTGTTGATCAATGACGTCATGTAATTTTTTCTGATGAGTCACTATATGTTTTACAATTTGTGGGGAAAAGACGTGTATGGCGCAGGCGCAATGATCATTATTTAAAGGAGTGTACTATTGGAACTGTCAAGCACAATGCCAAATTAATGGTTTAGGGTTGCTTTGCTGCTCACAGTGTAGGTAATTTACATCACAAGATCCTTCAGTATCAATTCAAGCCAAGTGTGAAAAAAACTTTTTTCGCACTTGGCTTGAATTAATACTGATAATTTTCCCGGGGTGATTTTATATTTCAGCAGGATAATGATCCTAAACATACTGCAATAAATAATAAAGCCTATGTCATCAACCAGAAATGGGAAACATTTGATTGTTCACCACAGAGTCCTGATCTAAATCGTATTGAGAATTTTTGTAGCATCTTTGACCAAAATTAAAAGTTTCGTTGATGTAACACCCTTGATGATTTGATATATATATATATATATATATATATATATATATATAATATATATATATATATATATATATATATATACATGTATATATATATATATATATATATATATATATATATATATATATATATATATATATATATATATATATATATATATATATATATATATATATATATATATATATATATATATATATATATATAGAAAACAGCAACTGTATTCTTAAACTTGTCTTTCGAAAAATCTTTAGCTAACATCCCTAATTTTTTTTTTTTATTAATTAGCAAAAGAAACATGAAACCTTAAAATATGTGATCAATTTCCACCTTTGTATATGCTTGGAAGTAAAGAGCTCGCAGATAAATAATCAAACAGGAAATTATTTACCGTCACAGATTGTTTCTTAAGATTTTGGCTTTTACTAAAACAAACGAAAATTATAATAAGAAATATTCTTACGAAGACTGATGATTCATACAAACTTGTACATATATAAATTATAGCATTTTTCAAAAGGAATTTGAATTTGCTATTAACTAATTCCAAATCATCGATTTGAATTCATTAATCGAATAAAAAGCGCCATTTTATAAAGAAAATGCACTATTTTTTGTCTCATTCTGAAAGTATATTTATTTGGACAATAAAAAAAAAGGATAAAACGATTTATTTGCTATTCTCCTCATATAAAAAAATTAGTTAGAACCTTGTCAAACCAACGCGACGAACTGCAACAAGTGCACCCGTGCTTCTGGCGAATTTGCATAGTGTTCGGAGCCCCGGAGTGATTTTTTATGTTCCGGCTTATTCCTGTGTAAATCGGTTCGGAACTAGTATTATTTGTTTTATTTTCAAAACATGGACTGTTGAATGAATTAATGCTCAAATTTTAATCTAAAATAGTTGTATGGATTTTTTTAGAATTACTTAGACAATTTGTATAAAATTTAGAATTAAATGCAAGCATATTAAATAAAGAATTCAATAGCATCAATTTAATATATTTTTACAAATTATAAAATTTTTTCATGGTTTTTCTTGTTTTTCTTTCATAGACAAAACAGTGGTTATGATTATCGCTTAAAACCAGAAATATTAAAACTTTTTAATAATTATTGGAAAATTAATTACTTTTTAAAAGTGTTTTAACTTAAAGGTTTGGTATATTTATTTCTTTACGTCTTTTAAATTCACATTTTTGTTCTGCATAGCAGGAATATATCTATATCATTTGTGCATTATATGATTATGACATTCCAAACAGAGGAGGATGCCATTTTTAAAAATACTGCCTTAAATCAATCACAACAGTTAGAGCAAACTATTAAATTGGATCAAATTTCAACAAATATTCATAGTATGTACTTTTTGTGAGTGTGTTAGTCACATGACTACTAGAGTGCCTATATATGCCAAATATATTTTTTATTAATTAAAAGAGGTGTATATAAATTATTTGTATATAGGTAATGCAGGAATCGCAAGCATTTGTGGTTTGAGCAACTTAGGAAACACATGTTTCATAAACGCATCTTTGCAATGCCTTTTGGGCACACAGCCTTTAAAGAAAGTTTTAATGCAGACAGATTTTCAAATCAAAGTTAGCTTATTATTAAAGTTATTATTTTTAATTTTTTAATTTATTATAAATTTTAATGGTTATTAACAATACTTTGGTGCAAAATAAATATTAAATGATAAATCATACTGGTTAGAATTCATTTTGTAGCCTTTTTTTTCATCTTTAATATCTTACATTAATATTTAAATTCAGAATTATTTTTTTAAATTCAATTCAATTACATTACACAATTTTATAATTAAAGGTAAGTTAAGCATCAAAAACAAAGTGCTCTATCTAATATTGTTTTTTAGTACAAAAATTAAAATGTTAATCAACTAGTAATAAAATTTGGCTAATCAAGTTTTGCTAAATTTTGTACTGTCATTATAGTTAATTGGGCAAAAATATGGTAATATATTTTTTGATAGTTTGTACAAGATGGTTTTACTATCATGCATATCTGTTGATGATCAGAAGAGGTACTGTCTTTTTTTCCATCTCAATAATGTCATTATAGTTAATTAGACAAAAATAAAAGGTCTTTTAACTTAAGTATCTTTGATATATAGTAGAGGATATTAGGGTCAGAGTTAAAATGCTGAAATTAGATTATTTTTAGGGCTTTATTTTGGAGGTGAGATAATCTTTTAAGTTTTAGAGATTGGGTTTGTCCCCATATTTGACAAGCATATCTAAGATGAGACTCAAAAACTACATGATATTTGTTAAGGAGCATTTCAAGATTAAGGCAATATTGAACTTTAGCCAACATACCATTTGATCTGCTTAGTTTCGGTGCTAAGTATTGGAGATGGGATGCAAAACCTAAGTTGGAATCAATTTTAACTAATTTTAACTTTTTACTAAGATACTTGATAATATTCACAGGATCTTTTTTTTGACCACTTAATCTGAAATTCAGGTGCTTTTTTAATTTTTGTATGACTTGATTTAAAGATAATAATTTCAGTTTTTTTGGAATTAAGTGATAATTTATTGGGTAGAAGCCACTGAAGTAGATTCGCTAAGTCATGGTTAATATATATATATTTTTAAAGTAGATTAGTGTCATCAGCGAAGTGGCAAGCAGTGGGACACCATTTGTTGATTTTATTAATTCAGATTCTATCCCATTAATAGAAACAGATTGTGTTCTATTTTGAAGATATGGATATTGAAGATATACCTCTGATATCGTAGTACTCCAACTTTCTAATTAGAATGGAATGATCAACTGTATCAAAGGTTTTCTGGAGATCAACAAAAATACCACATGCAAATAATTTATTGTCCAAAGCTGTTCTAATTTTTTCAGTTATATTAATTAGTGCATGAGTTGTTGAATGATTGTTTCTAAACCCACACTAATTTTTATAAATAACACTTGAATTTCTTCAGAAATTTGTCTATTGTGCATAGCTTTTTCAAATAGTTTGCTTATATTTGAGAGAAGAGAGATTAGACAATAATTAGAGTATTTCAGTAGAGAACCTTTTTTATGTATTGGTGTCACTTTAGCTATCTTAAGGAGATCTGGGAAAATGTGGTCTGAAATAGAAACTGTTAGATTACCAGAGATTGTTTCAGGAGAATAAGAGTTTATAAAAATATTATCAATGAGAATTTTGGTTTTTGAAGTTATTTGTGTTGGAAGAATAATGGTTGGGAAAAGCGAGAAAGTGCATTATGTTTGGAGATAATTAGAGACATGTAAGGTTTTTGTGCACTTTTTGTCTTTAGTTAAAAGATTTTAAAAAACAACGTTTGTGTGATAAAATGACTTTTTTGTATTTTAAAGTTTTACATTGGAATTACAATAGATAGATTATTGTTGTGTGTTTGTTTTGAGTGTTTTTTTATTGTAAAATAGTTTTTGAAGTTGCTAGACATGATTCTCTATAATTAATTAAGTCCATGTCAAAATCACCCATTAATATAATGTTTTTTTTCCATAACTTATTTTCTCAAGTAAAGGAGATAAATGGTTTGCGATAATTTCTTTTGGATTTATAGCTGGGTGATGATATATGCAGCCAATTAAAGTATTGGTTTTATGAGGGTTGATAGCTTCAGCACAAACTGATTTGAGAAATTTCGAGGCATAGATTGTAAGATCATCACGAACTACATAGTTAAGAGTTTAGATAAAGAAGAGCCTTTTTTGACTTAGTAATGTTCAGTGTTAAATCCATTTATGATAATATCAGTTATATTTGAGTTTTTTATATATAAATTTGATTCAGTAATTTCTATCACCATAGGGGAAGTGTAAAGAGTATCAATAAGGCTACGGAGATCGTCGATATGTTGTGGTAAGAAACAATATTGAGATGAAGATATATATCAGTATCAGGATTTAAAGAATTATTGAATTCAGTAACATCAAAATATTTACAATTAATAGTTGGATTATATACATTATTCATATCTCTATATAGACTTTTTAGGTGTTTCCAGTTTATGTTGTAGTTTTAATAAATTGAGTTCTTATTTTTAATTTTCTAGATTTCCATTTGAAAAAATCTTTATTCTACTTATAATGAAATTAAAACAATTAAAATATAAATTACAGTAAAATTTGCAACACTGCAATGAACTTTTGCTAATATTTCTCAAAATAACTTACTAAAAACAAATATATTTTTTTCAGTTTTATCTCATCATTTCTAATTTTTCAAAATATAATGTCTGTAAGTTTTCTTTACATCAATATTCACATTAAAAGTTGTTACTTGAAGCAAGCATTTTGTTATTAAACAGGGATAGCCAAATAAGTAAAAAAAAAATAAGTAAAGGATAATCTTTAGCAGATAATACTTTATAATTTCTTAAGTTCATATTAAGTGATTTTAATTTAGTTGGAGTTTATGAAGCAATTGCAAGATATATTTGTAAAGGTTGAGAGTGGAAAGTATTTAGTTCTACATTTAAAAGCCTTTCATCAAGTTCTTTCCAAGTTGCATCCTGTTTTTGGAAATTTTAAGCAGGTGATTTTTCTTTTTCTTTTTGTAAGTTTAAATAAAGTAAGTAAATTAAAAACAGAAATATATTTAAATACTTAAAGTATATGAACAGATTTTTCAAAGCTTAACTGTGTAATTTTAAAAATTGTAGTTGTTATCATCATTTTAATTGAAATTCTTTAGAATTCTCAGTTGAAATAATACATATTTATTTTTTATATTATTTATCTGTATTTTATATTATAAATAATACCTTTTTTTTATTAATTATTAAATATGTGTTTCACCTCTATATCTAAAACAATGAAACAAATATATGTTTATGACCACTGTGTCATTTGTATAAAATTTTATGCTAAAATATATTATTTGTGGAGACATTCATATACATTAATTTTTTTAATTTGTCATAAAGAGTGGCTTTTACCTAGATTTCTCAATTTTCATAAATCATACTGCAATTTAATACAGTATAAGTTGTAGGAATTTTTTAGTCATGATGGTGAAGCTGGAATAGTTATCTAGATTGCTGAAAGTTCATTGTAATAATTCAAATTGAATTTGGTAGGAAAGTTTTCTCAGCAATAGAATGCAGCGCCAAGTTTTAGGAGGACATTAAATTGTAAAATATCTTTAGTGGAGTTTCCTGAGTATCTACACAACTATTTATTATATTTATAAATAATTTATGCATTAAAATAATGGTGGAAAGCTTTTTCCTGATGATATAAAAGTTATTTTGGTAAGAAAGGATCAAAAAGACAATATAATGCTTCGAAACAAAGTGAGCTAAGCAAGTGGTCAAATATATGTTTTTTTTTTTTTTTAAACTTAATAAAAAAATAACAAAGTTATGCATTTTGACAAAAATGGTAATGTTGCATAAAAACAGCTTGAAATCATTTTATTATGTTGCTTTAAAAAATTCTGGGGAGTTTTAATAAATGTAAAAAGTTTATTATTTTTTTTTTTGCTTCTTTTAACAAAGATAAAACAAACACATAAAACGTTTTTTAAATACATTCCATATTTTTAAACTTTTATTTATAAGCTTTTATTTTGATATTATTTAATAAATCAATAATTTTTAAACTAAATAAATATATATAACTATATTTTAAAGCATATTTTTAAAAACATATCAAAAAAGAGATTCATTTACACCTTCAACATTTTAAAAATTTCTCTTTACTTTTTTTATTATTATATTTCTTTATTTTTTTAATATTTATTTATTTCTTGTCTTACGCGTCAATATCCTGTTAAAACTGAAACATAAACAGCTATTTTGACAGCCACATATGTTTTAAAAACACATTAGCACATACAATAATTTTAATAACCTGAGTTATATAATGAAGATATAAATAATTATAATAAAGATAAATATTGTATTTAATATAAAGTAAATCAAATATTTGTTCATAGCTAAATATTGTTTTTATTTATATCTAAATATTGTATTTATTTTAATACTAAAAAATTGATAACAAAATATAAATATTTTTTTTGTTTCCAAAAAAACCTATTGAAGTTTTGTACTAATTTTTAAATAAAATGTAATTATCATTTGCACATTTTTCTAAAGACTCGCTAAAGGGTCCAACCATTGTACATTTTACAGTTATCAAGGAAATGAAAAGCGAATTAAATATAAATTGGAGACTAAAAAATAATAAACAGCACTTTTATTTAATTCATTTAATTATTTTTTTACCATATTTTATTTCAATTTATTTTTAGGTTTTGTGCTAAAATGGTTGTTTTTGTTTTTGTCCATAATGCTTGTTTTATCAGAGACATGCTTACATCGAATCAAATGTAACAGGATTTAAATATAAATATTACATGTAAAATATGCAAAAATTGTACCAAAATCTTATAAACATTATGCACAAGATAATGCTATCCAATATATGCATGACTATCAAAATGCTCAACATCAATTAAATTTTCTATGTTTTATTTCAAATAATAATTTCTTTTCAAAAGTATTTTTTTGAACTTGGGTTTGTGTAGTAATTGTTTTTTTTTTTTTTTTTCTTCAATCTTTTCTTTTTCTGTAAAAAGACCATAAGGAGTTCAATTTAAAAAACCATATGGAATTTATATATATATATATATATATATATATATATATATATATATATATATATATATATATATATATATATATATATATATAATGAAAAGTGTATGTCAAGCAAAATAACAACTTCAGAAAAAGTTTTTTATATTTCTAAAAAGATATTTAACAAAATACTACAAAATATATTTAACACTAGAGGCCTTTCAATGTTTCATCAGTAGTACTAGTTTAAGTGCTGTTACCTACTTATTAAACAAGATTGTGTTTTTCATAACTATGTGTCAGTTTTTTTAACATTAAAGTTCAAGGGATATAAATTCTAAGATTATTTTTGTTTTGTTTTGCTATTTATGTTTATATCGATAGAATAGACAAAAAAAATATTTACACATACTACACTACTTCTGTAAAAATAATTAAACTTTATAAGATGTATTTTACTGATGAAATGAAATTCACACTTGATAATTAATTATTATACTTAATTACCACTATAAATTATAAATACAAAAAGTACTCATGATTTTTAAATAAAAAAATAATTTTAAAGTTACAAAAAAATATTTTAATTGCAAAAAATCATCTGGAGTAACTGCAATATTTTAAATTTCAATTTGCTTGAAAATGTGTAGAAAAGCACTGTCAGAGAGCATCAAATGGCAAATTATTGGACCGGTCAAATCAAAGAATCATAACAATATTGATTTTAGTAAACTTATTGGTGTTTCTGAGTTTTGCATGTGAAAAACAGTGAAAACCTGGGAGCTAACAGGTAACATTGTTGACATGCCTTGTTCTGGAAGACCACTGAAGCTTTGTGACCTTGACAAAAGTAGCATATTCAGAACCAGTAGAAAAAATCCTAGGCTCAGTAACCAAAAGCTAGCTCAAATATTCAACCAATCCTTTTCTAATTGAAATGTAAGCAAAGAACTTGTTTGAAAAACATTAGCAAAAAAAAGTATTGGGTCTTACATTGCAATAAGAAATATGTCAATCATAGACCAAAGCAAAAGACAAAAATGGTACAAAGAACGTTTGCATTGGGCAGTTAAAGATTACACAAAAGTGATTTGGAGTGATGAGTCAATTTTTTTAGGTTGTGAACCACAAAGGAAGAATATACGTTAAAAGATTTGCAACTGAGAAATATTGTGAGCGTTCTTTACAAGCAAGACGACAATGTGGTGGAGGTTCAGTGTGAATATGAGGATGTTTTTCCCACAAAGGCCTTGATTTTTGTGTGCTGTAAAATGGCCGTATCAACCAATATACCTACAAAAAACACACTTGGAACACGTTTTATTCTGTCGACAATACGGCAGAAGCAAGCAATACATCTTCCAGCAAGATGAGGCCCCCAGCACACACAGTACATAATATAACAAACTGGTTTACTACAAAGAAGATCAATTTATTGCCTTGGTGCCTAGATCACCAGTTGTTAACCCAATCGACAAT